GTTACCAACTTCTGTTGGACAATACCTACAGGGCTGATAGTTATAGAAGAGAAACAAAATTTAACAGGCATGAAAAGGCATCTCATGATTAGCAACTCCCTCAGCGTTGACAACACGAGATAAATTAGAAACATCCACTATCATTTCAACTATTAATTCTCTATGGTTAACTTTTGTCTACCGTCGTCGTTATTCGTTAAAATAGACAATAAATATCTCCCATATGGAGTGATTTTTTTACGGAATATAACTTGCCGGTTGCGTTTACACTTTACGGGGAACTTGTAAGGATGATAAGATCAGCATGAGGTCAGGTCAGTTATCACATTGTGGTAAATTCACCAGGAACACGTACGAGTAGACTCCGAAAGATCAGCAATAAAGGAATGTAATATAACAATATTACAAAGATAAGAGGATGAAGTCTAGTTGGTTAGGCCGGCCAATGGTCATGGTCACATTGACGAAATCAAGGCAGAAGTGGCAGTCATGCTATTTTTTCTTTCCTGAAATGGATTAAAATCAATGAAATAGAGACGTTCCCAATACTAACAAACCCTTCCCGACCCCAAAAATATGTCCATGTCCATAAATAAATTTTGAAATGATATATGCATACGGACGTAAGCATAACAAAGCACTTATTTGAAACGAAACATTAGAACAACTCATAAGATTTTACGTGACAATAATGCGAAGTCATTTTTATTTACGTTTTCAAATAAAATATTGTACTACCACTCAACTCGCATATAAAACGCTGTCATAAACTTTTTACAACCGGAACAAAATTCCTGAAACAAATAGTAAACTAAAGTCGCTTTAATTTATTTGTAACGCTCCACTAAGGAAATAAAGTGAGGCATTTATCCCGTGAAGAACTTGTACAATGGTCACTGTAGTCGCAGGAAGTCACTGTTTAGCTTATCTGGATGGCACGGCGAGTATTCGAGACCTGTTTACCTGTACAGTTTGTATGAATGAACCAAACTTTAATTACATTTTAACTGTACGAATCAAAAGTAGTTTTTAAACAGCTAGTAAAATCTAGAATTCTTTAAAGAAATGTTTGATTGTTCATATTTTTTTAATCAATAATATTATTACAATTCAACAATACCAAATATTACCGTCATTAAAAAATTACATAAATAAAGCACACCGTATTTAAGTAAGTCTGTTTGCCCTTTTATTTATAAATATAGGAATACATGTAGCACAAATTATGCTACCAATTTAATACCCAAATATGCTACCAGTCTCGAACCTTGCAAAACAATGCTGACTTTTGTTGCAAAACAAAACAGACTATGGTGTTTTTTGAAGTCATAGGAGTCCGTCCATTAATTACGTGTGGCTCGAAAGGAGGGGAGGAGGGGTTCAGCAAAAATCTGGGTGTAGTAGATTGTTGGTTGGATTGAGTTGACGTGTATTTATTTTTTCGTCAACCGCGCGATTTCTAAACCGAAAATGAAATGAATAACATAAAATTATGCTTTATACCTGTATTTACAGATAACATTAAAAAAAATTAACGCTTCCTTGTAGATAGTAAAAAGTACAAGGGATTTTGGGTGGAGGGAGTCTGTAATAATGTGGGGTACACTTGGCAGAATTTGTTAATACTGTAATCTAAACATTAATTAATGGGAAGAGAGGTACGGTGTAATTTAAAGTACATGTAACTATAACATTTACAACTTAAGCTAGGTTCTAAATGTTATGACATTTTACAAGCAGATATTAGAATTACAGGTCGTAATAAGTATCAACTATTTTGATATAAATTTTATTCAAATTGAAAAACTTGGCTAATTGTATTCCAAATAGAATTCTAACTTCAAATTTACATGAAATATCTAAGTTACATGAAGCTTTTTGGAAGCTATAAGGCACTTAGGTAGTTACCGGTCCAAACCTTGCATTCTTAACCAAATTTATGTTTATTTTTGTGAGTCTGTTATTACCAAGTTACTCTGTACATACTATGCAAATACTTTCACTACCCAACTTAACAATTAGAGCAAATACAAATTACAGTAGTTACTATACACTACTAAAACACATGTGATATAGAGGTTCTCAACTACATTAAACCATAAAAAAGGCTTTGCACGCCAATATAATAAAGATTAACACTGATATTATCGCTGTACCACCAACAATAAATTATAGACAAATGCTTCCCAAAGGACAGTTTATGGACTGCCCTCTAGGATAAAGATCGTTCATGCAGATTTCATAGATTCAACCATGTTTGTTAAACAATGCAAGCTTGTAGATTGTAGGTTGCTATCCCAAAGGAATATGTAACGCCATGTACGCGCTTGATCGTTTGTCGAAATAATTCTCGAAGATTCGCATCCGACCGATTCAAGTTTATACTGTTTTTCGAACTGAAATTTATCATATTAATCAAATTTTAAATAATAATACGACAGTGTTGATTTTAATAATACATCTGCTCACGGTCTAATAAAATTCTATACGTAGGTACAAACTGAAGTTTTCAGCAGAATGTTTTATTTTACTGCGGAAATTTCGTCTTTGCGATTTCATTGTACATGATAACCAGACTATATATTATCTTATTTTTTGTGTCAAATGTTTATATGCAAACGGCTACCGATTTTTATGAAATTTTATATGCATATTAAGTAGGTCTGAGAATCGGCTACTACCTATTTTTCATACCCCTAAGTTATAAGGAGTGGACAATCCTTATCACTTAGGGGAATGAAAAAACATTATTTTTTTATTCTTTGGACAACATTTTTTATTTATATTTTTTTGTGTGTGTGTGTGTCATTAAAAAATACACACAACCCCAAAATTTTCCTTTACCCTTATATCACCAACCCCTATATTTTTATAGCGTAATTAATTTATACGGCAAAACAACGTTTGCCGGAAGTTACATATATGTACTACGAAAAATATTGCATCAGCTACGCAATACATTTGTGCTATCGATACAGAATACCTATCAAATTGTAATATGCACACTGAATACATAACATAACTGTCTACATGGAATTCCTCAAGTTTTTATATTTAGCATAAACACAGTCATGACATTTTGTATGCAAATCATAATGACTTAAGCAAATAAACCATTACAACGAATCACGTTATTTATACATATTTAACAAAATGTGGTTACCCACTTGCTTATGTATACATAATGTATTTACATATACGTACAGAAGAATATGAACTAAGAAACAATATTAGCGACATTTTCCTTGGTTGTCTAGCGGTTTAGTACACCGCTTTCGTTCCAATAGTTACGGGTTTGATTTCTCAAACGGTGCAAAAATATGTATTCATGAAAACTAGGTATTTCTATGTATTTAGAAAATAAAATCGTATTATTTATATCATTTGAATAGTATCTATAATATAAGGTTTGCTTAGCGTGGGACTAAGTGGCGCTGTGTTAATTGTCCAGTTTATTATAGTTTGGTATTGAGGCGTAAATATAACTAGGCGCGTTTAATACTTGCTAGTTGATATATATAATATAATAAACACAAGTTATGTAGATAAATGAGTTAATGTAATTAATTGGTAAGATGTATTATGAATTAATTTAACTATCTACACAGAGGTGTCAAAACCGCAATATGAACATTATTTTAATTATCATTATTTAAAAAACTTTAAACTAAACTAAACTAATTCCTTAGTTGACTACTCTATGTAAGTACATAGATAAACAATCTATGTTGTAATATTAGTCGTTCATGATGTAATATTTTAACTTTAAAGTTACACAATATCGTTACTTATTATTTATTTTATTATAAGATTTTCTTTTTAAAAAATAGAATTTACACCTGTGTTAGTTTCGTATCAATTTAACGAATAATTACTTCAATACAACGATACAAACATTATGTTAAACTAACTACAATATCTTTTACTACACTATGTCGGTACAGAATCCACATTGTGCGAAAGGATTGTTAATAATACGTACTAATGAACCCATTGCCAGCAATGTACCATGTCAGTATGACCTCCACGCGGCCCCCCCTGGACTTCATCGGACGAAAATGGAATAGAGGGCTTATGGAACGGCTCACCGCCAATCCCTGATGGATACAACTTTAGCCTGAGGGCACTTATAAGGGGTTCGAGTCCTGACTAAAGCCAACGTAATATCCATCCCCATTGGAATGGGACAAGGAATCGGTCAGAGAGGATAAATAGTATATAGGAGCCAACAGAATAACAGCGCTGCAGGCTTAGTTACTTATTCATAATTGCGGCACATAAAACTTCTATATAACTACCTCCATTTCAATATTTTCTATTTAGTATATTTTTTCTGTAGATACCTTAAATATATTGCATAAAGAGTTTATATGTAAGTATTATATATATCTGGTAAGTAGCTGGCACTCATGGTGCTACCGAATTCACGTTTCCGAAATATCACAAGTAAATTTAATGTACAATAAATATTACATCCCCCCCATAATTGAATTTCGTTATCAAAAATACTTATTTATCAGTATAAAATAAGAGTAACTACTAGCTTCTTATTAAAAAATTGGTAAGAATGTGAATAGGAAAATCCCAATGTCAATATGATTCAACATTCATTTATTTTAACAAACTTTTAGTTAAGAAAATTACTTATTAAATAAGTCGTAGAGCGTATTAACTGATTGCTACTGACATCACATTATCTTATTTCATAATCATGATCTCATTTTATTATTACAACAATAACTTAATGTAATGTAAATAAAACTTTTTCAATTGACAATCGTACTCGTAATAAACCGGTAACGGAAAGTAACATAACCTCTAAGTCATAAGATTTAGAATGAGATACTATTTCTAGTTCCTACCTACAAATACAGCAATTAATATACATAATTGCATTGCACTAAGTGTCTACATATATAGCAAAGATCCTGTTGCTCATTGACAAAATCAATGCCGGCATTCTCGAAGCATGCAAAAAGTATAAAAAAAATAATACTCACTCGTATAACTTCGTGTAAGTTGTGATTCGATTGTTTTCAATTCCAATATATCAAGTATTGAATATATAACTAAAAAATTTGGCACTAAATTGTTCACTTGTTTATTTACGATCTCTCGAGACAGCGAGTCGAGTACACGCATGCGCAGGACAACCAAGTTTTGAAAAGGCCAGTGCGAAACTGACAGAATGAATGGTGACTTGACTTGACTCGAGCGTGTAGCTGTGTTGCCTGTTCGAAATTTTAATTTACAATGTTTGTAGTGAGAAATAAAAGTTGTATACATATATAACAAATGAGACAATACTGGGAGATCCTAACATTGATAAATACAACTGCGTACCTCACCTCCATGTTCAGAATAATTATATTCTCTGATGACATGAAGTTAAGATAAAAATTTTAATTCTAAGAACCTGTTCACCATCATACTCAATGAACTGCAAATATAACGTTATATTGTATGTAGTTTGTCAGAATAATGTAAAATTTGGGATATTTTACAAAATAATCAAAAGTACGATAATTTAGGTTACAATACAAAATACTCCCTTAAAATCGGGAGTATTCACAATACTGGTTAAAACGTTGAATGTGTGAGTGAATGAACTAGAATAAGTGCACAACGATGGGTTTTGTTTGAGCGAATGACACTGAAGAAAAGAGACGGATGTACACCGGGGGATGTAGGTGTAAGGGAGATAACAAATAGCTCCTGCCAGACGAGATGGGCTGAATGTAGTAAAGTACCGAATGATATTGTATAAAACTTTAGGATGGTCTATATAGCTACTCCGTTCGTAACATCGCAAACGGGGTATCTCAGACTCAGACTTGAGTATCGGCCAGCATAGTGGTAACAATTTGTTTTCTATCTTTCGGTTATTTTTGCCTTTACTTACGTTACGTTAATCTCTATATGCAATTGAGACTTTTAAATGGACAGGTAAATTTTGCACTAAGTCATGTTAGGAAACAGTTGGAAACAAAATCGTTAAAATCTCCGTATCAAGTTAAGATAAACGAAGTGTATTTTGTTAATTTATCATAGTAGGTACTTACCTATAGTACATAGGTCTACTAGGGTACCTATAGTCAACCTTCTATCCTGTAGTTTATTTATCATATCATAAATAAATATAATTTTTAATTCAGCCATAAGTTCAAAATATTTAAGCACCCAGATTTAGTAATTATTTTTGTTGAATATTTTAATAAAATACGCATTCCTTTACATTGGTATTTAATATTATTTTGATGATATTTATTCCCTTTACAATTAGTGTAGTAAGGGCAGACAGAATAGACTTCTATTGACGTTGTTAAAATACCTAAAGAAGTATTTGAAATTCCTTCTAATACCAATAAACATCACATATGTTTTCAATTATTCTATGAAGTAGAATAAAATCAGCTGTGTGCACAGACAAACAGCTGACATAAAAAATAAGACTAATAAAAAAAAATATATAAATAGAATAAAAACATTCATAATACTCAGAGTAGTTCGATTTTTTTTTCCGAGAGACGGCATTTCAGAACATTTCGGCACACACGGGATTGCACAAAGCTCAAAGTGCTTAGAAGTTTGAGAGGGTTGCAGAATAATAATAGACCTTATTCCCTAAGGTGTAATCATAAAAGTTCGTTGTACTTATGCTGCTATTACAAAGGTGTAGGGTAGCTCTTTTATTTTCGAACAGGATATCCTGGCCCGGCTGTTTCCGAGCGTACGGTTCATTAACAATTTGTACGCTAATGGCTAAAAAAAACTTGGCAACGCTACACGTGCTACTGCTGCCACAAGTTTTCTCAAAAAAAATATTTTAAAGTTTTTTTAATAAAGCTTCTATAATAGTATAAGACCGCAGTTAGTCAAGTCATCATCGAACTAAATTAAATAAGCCCAAATTTGATGGAGTTGCATCTTTTATTGTCTATGGCCACAGTCGCTCTGTAAGGGATTATACTTTAAAATGCAAATCTAAGATTTGAAGAGATCTAAGAATTTAAGAAGAGTTAGGGAAGTCATGTAAAAGTGCTGGCTGGTTAGCGACTAATATTAATTTTCTAACTGTAGGTAGGTACTGAGCAACTAAAGGAACATTAGTTTCTCTTCACATCCAACAGAATTAACCAAGACACATATAATATGTTCCTTGCCGTGTCGTTTTAAAATATGAATAGTAAAATTGTAGATCAATCTTTAGAATAATTATCAATATCAAACATACATTGTACACACAATACAGCATATTTATTACAAAAATATACAGAAATTAACTAAAAAGCTCAAAAAACAAACGCCATTTAACGAACCTTTAGTTACATTATATAGGTAAAACCTAATTACGGGTAACGTTAGCCTTGCTAAAAATAAAACAAAACACTTAAAAACATATTTTATAATAATTTATAAATATAGAACGGGTCGTCATCGACAATTCATAATGCGTATTGTTCTCATGATGAATTGACGACAAAGTCACGAACAAACAAACATCCCTTTTATTTGGGAAATGGCCGACGTATTTTGAGAGCGCAAACAAAAGGCCACTCAGAAGGGTTTACAAAAAACCCCCGGGTTGCACTTGTAACGCAATTATTATTAGTAATGGGATTGCTAGACGGTTGTTTTGTTTGTTCTCGCTACCGAACCCATGGCGGCGCTGTCTTACCTAGTAATAACACGTACACATAAGTGTGTGTACTCATCTAATTAATTAAATAAATATCCATAATGGAGTATGTCGTGCCCTAGTGGTTTACTACACTCCTTTAATGAAAGGTTCTATGTTCAAATCTGGCTGATAATAAAAAGCTTTGTGTCAATATTTTTGACTGACATTCCGGTTTTGAAAAACCAAAGTTTTTTATTATCAGCCAGATTTGAATATAGAATTCGAGAGATAACAATAAGCTGATAGAATCAAAAATAAGTCAAATTATATTCTAGAACAATTCAAACGCCATCTAGTCCTAGTCTAAGCTAAGCAGAATTGGTGTTATGAGTACTAGACAAGTGATATAAATACTTAGATACATTTTTTTACAAATACATGGTACATGATATACCGGTCCGATAGAAAAAATCATACTCATGAATACAGAAGTTTGCACCGCATGAGGAACCGAAGCCGTCACCATCGAAGGTAATGTGGGGTGCTAAGCTAGGCCGCCGACGCTAAAATGAGGAAGAAATTAACCACTATAAATAAGAAATTATAAGAAATTATACACTATGTTTTCTAAGAAATCACTTGTCGATCTTTTTCCTAGGGTAAGTCAAGCTCCACAGAGTGGGGGGTAGGGAATTGTTAGTAATGTAGTCTCATGACCCCATTGCTAGCAATGTACCGTTTCAGGTTGACCTCCACGCGGTTCCCCCTGGAAACCATCGTGTTAAATTCCTGGTGAATTTGTCATGATGGGCTAACTGACCTGACCTCATGCACATCTTATCATCTTCCACTGGTATCCTGCCAGCGTAAACCGTTAGCGCAGGCGGTAGCACCATTTCATTATCATCAACAAAAATAAACCTCCACAGAGTCTTCTACACTTTATTACACTTTGTTCTGCTGGAATGAGTAGTACAGCCACTAGTCTCTATTACTAACAATCTCGCCTCTTCATTTTAGATATTTATTCCACACTAATTAAATTCGTCTGTTCCCTTACAAAACTGAGTAGGTAAGTCTAAGAACTCGTGAGATGAGTAGCTACGCTTTCGTATATCAATGTGATCAAAGTCAAAGTCAAAAATGTTTATTCATATAAGAGATTTTTAGCCACTTAGACGTGTCCAACAGTATCTCCGTTTACTTCATAAATAGATCACAAAGTTAAATCATTCTTTGATCAGTGGTACGTTTTTAATTTTATTATTAGAAGATACATGTTATTATAAACTATTGATTCATTTTTAAACAGATAATATGTTAGCGTTACCACGTAGTACTCATATTTGTACATAGTGGAATAACTTTCTATGTGTAAACAATTTATGTATACATATGTATTATCACGTGAACTTTGAACAAAGTCGTTTGCCTGATTACCTTTGTTTTACTTATTTCAATCGCCAAGCACCTTGCTTTGTAAGATGTGTTTCAATAACGAATCGAAATAGAGTACGAAGGCATGAAATCTTAGTCCTTTGGCCTCGAATTATAACTTAATAATCTTGATACTGTTAATATACCATATACGTACGTATATGAATAAAAACACAAAAAATAGTGTTTGAAATGCAATCTATAATTATAGAAATTTTCACTAGCATACGCCGGAATAGGAGGTTATATATTTATATTATATTAGTATTAACATACCATCACGACCTTAACCCTATATAGGCAGTCAGAGGCATTGTAATCTGAAAGCAACACTTAGCAAGCCCACCTTGTAACATTTGAATTCAACGTGGCATTGAATAGCCCATGTTGTCTCTCAGGTTCCATAAGTCAAAAATATGACACAAATATTGGCATCAGTAGATTCCAACTCACAACCTGTCGGAAAAGCAAACCTAGCAACAGCTATGTTGGTGTAAAAGAAATACATGTAAATAAATAAGATAACGTCAAACGAAATAAAGATGGATACTGGTATTCTCTGAGATTGCGTGAAGTCCATCGCTCATTGTGTCAATTTAGAATTATGCCGCAGTCTAAACTCGCGGTTACACAGGAAACAACAATGGGAATGAGTTGTTTCGTGAATATTACGGCTACATATGTATTTTGTGGGTAACGCTGGCAAAGGCACTTGGAAATGCATACGATTTGTGAGCCTGAAATGAACAATGTAATCATACCGTCAGCTAATACGTATTTCTGCTTTAAGTATAAAGCAGATACACATAGAGTATAAAGCTAATAATATATTGTAGATTGTGTTAAAGAACATAGCACATTTTTTATATTAAAAAAGTCAAAGGGACTCGTAATACAATCTATATTTAAGTCAAATTTCGTAGAGATTCATTCATTCATTTTCTTCTTTATATTTCATTAATTTCATTCATTGTTCATGGCGAAATAACAACAAAAGTTTTTAT